ATCCCACCCAGACCCATTCCCCATGTCTAACCCACCTAACCTAAACATCCCTGGACATTATGGGCAATTTAGCATGGCCAATCCTCCTAGCCTGCACATCTTTGGACTGTGGGAGGAAACTGGAGCACCCGGAGGAAACCCACGCAGACACGAGGAGAATGTGCAAACTCCACACAGATAGTCGCCCAAGGCTAGAATTGAACCTGGGTCCCTGGCGCTGTGAGGCAGCAGTGCTAACCACTGAACCACCGTGCCACCCATCTGGAATATGGTTGAATGACTGCATTTTCTTTTGTATTCTCAAGGATCTGTTTCAACATCAATGCCTGTTTGAACATCAATGCCTGTTTGAAGGCTGCCAAACAGAAGCTATCCCATTTTGAGAGAACCTTGCTCTTCACAGAAATGCACAGTGTGTTCTTAATTCCAAACAGGTAGCATTGACTGAATGACTCAACCCCATTGCAGTTACCTTCCTATTTACCCCTTGCTTCTCAAGCATTCAACCCCGTGAAAACCCACAGTCACATGAACCTGGCAATATAATAAACAGGATGCAGTCATCTTTTCTCAGAATGCTTATCAGCAACTTTAGTCTTGTAGGGACATCAGACAAAAACACATGCTTCCCAAAACAAGTTGGGTCATTACATCTTCTATCACTTTGATGATTGACAATTTTCAGATAGTGTAATAATTATTGGGATTAGACTTTTTTTTTCTTTTGGACAGACTTGTGCAACTTTCCGCATTGTTGGGTAGCTGTTAGTATTGTAGCTGTACTGAAACACCTTGGTGATGGGTGCAGCTAGTTTTGGAGCATATAGTTTCAGTGCGACCGCTGGATAGTTGTGAAAGCCTGAAGTGTTTACTGGATCCAGTGGTTTCTTTATGTCGTGTGAAGTGAATCGTATTGGCTGATTAATGCAATGTTGGAGATCTCAGGTGGAGACCGAGATGGATCATCCACTATGCACTTCTGGCTAAAGATTGTTGCAAATGTTTCAACCTTTTTCTTTGCACTGATGTCCTGGGCTCCCCTTTCATTAAGAGTGAGCATATTTGTAGACCATTCTCTTTGTTATTTGTTTAATTGTCCATCACCATTTACAACTGAATGTAATAAGGCTGCAGATCTTTTACCTGATCTGGTTCCAGGATTGCTTTATTCAGTTCATTGCTTACAGTTTTCACTGTTTTAACATTCATGTAGCCATGTGTTCACCAATTTGGCAGCTCATTTTTGGATATGCCCGGTGTTGCTCTTGTCACCTTTGTACTCTTTATGATCAAGTCAGAGGATGATTTCTGGTTTAATAATGGTAGAGAGGTGGAGGTGCTGAGCGATGAGGTTCTAGTTTGTGTTTGAATACAGCTCTGCTGCTGTCACAGGACTTCTCAGTGGTCACTTGTTCCAGTGCTATTATGGACAGATGTATCTGTGACATGTACATTTCCTCCCTCACGTACCTTCAAGCTTACTGTGTTAGATATGTTCTTCAAGACTCAGCCAGCTCATTCATTAGTATTGCCACCAAGCCAATCTTGACCACAGAATGCCCGCACCCAGCATATTGTCTGTGCCCTTATCATCCTTGATGTTCTTCAAAAGTTGTAATATACAGATTCATCATTTGAGGGAGAGCAGAAGTTGGTAATCAGCAGGAAGTTTCCCTGTCATTCAAATAAAAATAAAATACTGTGCTGAAATTCTGAAATAAAAAACAAAAAGGTAGGAGAAGCTCATCTGGTATGGCAGCATCTGTGGAGAGAGAAATCGAGTTAATACTTCAAGTCGAATTATGGCTTTTCTTCACTACCTTCTCTGTGTTCTGAGGCAGAGTGTTCTAAACCCGCTGAGGGAGAACTTTTCTGCTCTTCTGTGTCCTAAAAAGTGATGACTAATTTTGGATCAGTGTCCTTTAGTTCTGGACACCCACAAGAGAAAACATCCTTTCTGCATTCATCTGTCAAGACCTGGCTCACATGACCAGTAACATTACTGCTGTAGTCCCTTTAAAGAGAATAAGTGCTCCACCTCCCTCACCGGTCCTTTTCCCAGCAAAATGTAAATATCAAATAAAGACTTGGCTTTTATTTTCTCTTTCAGATGTTGTCTTTTTTCCAGATGCTTTTCACCTTCTATCATCAAGGCTATGAGTTGGCCAAAGATTTTGACCACTACAAAACAGACCTACACCTAAACATACAAAATGTAAGCATTGTTTTTCATTTGGAAAGCTGAGCATAAATAGATCTACATTGTATGATTGCACGGTGGTTCGTTGGTTTGCACTGCTGCCTCACAGCACTAGGGACCCGGGTTCAATTCCACCCTCAGGCGACTGTTTGCACATTCACCCCATGTCTGCGTGGGTTTCCTCCGGGTGCTCTGGTTTCCTCCCACAGTCCAAAAATGTGCAGACTAGGTGGATTGGCCATGCTAAATTGCCTGTAGTGTTCAGGGACATGTAGCTTAAGTGGGTTATAGGGCATCTGGGTAGGAAGCTCCAAGGGTCAGTGTGGACTTGTTGGGCCGAAGGGTCTGTTTCCACACTGTAGGGATTCCATATAAAGAACCGGAAGTGATGCCAACCACCCCAGCAAACCGAGGCATATAAATAATAAGCGGGACACAACACCAGCGCTTCACTGGAGGCACACTGACGATGTTACCTAGCAGGGTGACGAAACATCTGCAATCAAACACACTGGCTCGGTGAGCAAGTCTACAGCCTGAGCAGTTACTAGTTAATACAAAGTAACAGATAATGCCCATCAATTTTTTTCAGCTTTCCCCATGCGTTGCAACTGTTTGCTTCCAGCAAAAATTTAATTGTGAATTGTTGAGTAATCGCTAATATTTATGTGGGTATCTTTAGTGTAGTCAGAATTTTGCAGTGCTTACTTTTGCTCTTGATTATTAAAATGCCTTGGGTATTTCTCAAATAATCAAGTGACAGTTAATTTTCAAATTGAACCACACTAAACTTTGTCACAGACATGAACACTTACTTTGCATTGTGTTTCATTAATATTTGCAAAAAATGTTCCAGTTTTTGTAAAGCTTTAATATTGATATTAATTCTGCAGTCTAATATGCACACTAGTGCAAGTAACTCAGGTGCTGCCATCTTCTGTCCAAGTAGTATTAAATCACCAACTGGAGTTGGAAATTTTATCACCTTGCTTGGAATAACCTCTAATTTTTGATATATACGGTACATCAGTCAAGAAAATGAAAGAAAAACAGGACTTGCACACCTATACGCTTTATTCATGAGCTCAGGCTGTCTCAAAGCATTTTATTATGTCTCAAAGCAATCAATTAATTAAATTCTCTTGACATATTGGCCCCAGGAAGTGGCACTGAAGGTGTCAGAGGGAATGTGATAAAATTTCAGGAAGTCCAGCTGAGCAAATCTTACAAATGACTCCACTCAGAATCTTGCAAGCTACCTGTCCCAAAGAGATAGGCAACCAACTTTAAATATGCAAAGTATCTACTAAGGACTATTGGCGTAGGCTACTTCCTTTAGAATTTGCCACAGTGTAGGGACACTGTGAGCAAGATGGCCTCTAGCCAGTGTCAGCCTGACAAAGCGGTTAAGAAACTTTAAACAAAGAGCGAGGGGACATCAATTCCCATAGCTCTAATGATTGCAGCCAAAAAATTTATCTTTTGATTCTTGCCACTGGAATTTATTAAAAGTGTTTTCTTGTCTACCTGCTGCAGGCTGTCAGGGTCCTTGCTATCTCAACAGTGACTCTACTGCACTGTAATTGGGCCTGCTGTTTTCAGGAACAGGCTGCAATTAGAAGGGGGTGGCACACTAGATGCCCATTTGTACTCCCAGCATGCTTTTCCTGGCAGGTGGATTGACAACATTTAACACATTGACTGTGATCTTGACAGGGACTGCTCAGGGAGGGGATTTGTTGGGTGTTTGGGGAAGGAGGAAATGGAATTGTAGGAAGAACTGTTGGAATACTCAGAAGTTCAGTTGACCCTGCGTGCTATGTTATCTTCACTCTACAACGTATATGCATTATATTTATTTTGTAGGTTATCTGTCTGTAAATCAGCCTGATTGTCAGACTTGGTTTCAGTTGAGCAGGGAACAGGAAGGGAACCTGCAGCTGTTACAGAGAACGGGGTGTGGATTTGATACCTCACCCTTGTCCAATTTCAAAGGCTGGGTTAGGGGGAGAGAGAATGCAGTTTGGGGAGAACTTGGAAGAGTCTGGTTGCAAGCCAAAATTCTCTTTCTTCTCCTGGATTGGTGTGAATTTCTGTACCTTCTCTCCAAATCTGTCCTCCCCTTTCTCAGCTGCAAAGTTTTTGGTTGGCTGAGGAACCTAATCTGCTGTGGCTATGCCTACAAAGCAAGTTAAATCAGAGACTGCTAGCCTCATCAAAATATTTACATTGCCTCCTGCGAGTGAGTTGACTGTCAGCCCTTTGTGCAGCCTCCAATAAACCTGCAAGTGGGGTCAGATCTGAGATTTTTAAACTTTTAAAAGTTTGTGGGCCTAAGCTGCTGCTGCTTTTGGGATTAATGTATCAGTACCTATTACTGTTGTAATGTATGAAGTACCACAACAAGATTCCACAAGTGGCAATGAAATGTAACCAGTCAATGTTGATGTTTCATGTTCTTTCACAGACTGTTTTGTCAAAAACTTTACATTGCTCTGTTTTACAGGCAAGAAATCGATTTGAGGGTGCTAGGTCAGAAGTAGAGGAACTAATGAATAAAATTAAGAAAAACCCTCATGAGTTGCCCAGAACAACCACATTTACTGCAGAGGGTTACCTTTATCTACATGAAAAAAGTATGTATGTTTGTTAAAATATCTTTGAATCATTTTGTATGGTAGATTTCACTTAAAATAAGCAGTTTTCAAGTGAATAATATTTATGAGGCAGTTTAAAAAAAACTGCGCAGAGCTTTGATTCCTTGCATATTTTACTTCTTTACCTCTCCCCCTCAGAATTTGAAGTACGTTAGTAGAGTTAACAACGATACAAGTTGGAAACATATTTTAGCTGGAAGAAGCTTTGTTGGTCACGAAATCTGGACTTATTCAGAATTTTTGTCTCCAGGATCATTAAACTAGCAACATAAACACACTAGATAGGAACATTTGCCTGCTCCATCATTTGATCAGCTTCAATAACCATTCAGTTCCTTATCAGGAGCTATCCACCTCTGCATTATAAATATTAACAGTCTTTGCTTTCACTGCCTTTTGAGAAAGAGAGTTTAAAAGACTGAGACCTTCTGTGAGGAAAAAAAATTCTCCTCATCCCTGTCTTAAGTACGTGATCCATTATTTTTAAGCCCTAATTCTAGATTATTCCATAAGAGGAAACATCTTTTCCACATTCTCCCTTTTTTAGACTCCTTTTCAGTGAAGTAACCTCTTAGTCTTCTAAACTCTAGTGAAGGTAATTCCTTTACTCAAGAACGGAGGGAGACAATGCAGGAAACTACATGCTGGTCCCTTATTCTCATTTGATCTTTGATTTCTTATTGTTTTTAAAATTTTCTTTGCATTATGTTCAATGAAGGTTGATGCACAGCTCTTGGTTAATGCTTTTTTCAATTCCTTATTCCTCATTATAAATTCTCATGTCCGCCTCTAAGAGACCCGTGTTTACCTCTGCTCATCTTTTCCTTTTTTATATGCTTCTGAAAGCTTTTACAGTCTGTTTTGATGTTTCTTGCTGGTTTACTCTCATTCTTTTTTTAAATTCAATTTTGCAGCATACTTTGCTGAATTCTAAAGCCCTCACAATACTCAAGTTGACTGGATGTTTGGACGAAATATAAGCCTCTTTCTTTAATCTACTGCTTAGCTTAATTCTTTTTATTAACAATGATTGGGCCAATTTTCCTACTGTGTTTTTGTTCCTTAACAGGTATGATGTTTGTCACCCGTTATGAATGACTTCTTTTAAATGTTTACAATTGCTTGTCCACCATCTTCTTTTAATATGATCTTTCAAACTACCTTAACCATTTGCCCCTCTGAACTATATAATTTGCTTTGTTCAGAGAAAGGACCCTAGATTTACTTAAGTCTGTTTCAAATTTTATTATAAAGTTCTATCATATTATGATCACAGCTCCAGTTCTATCCTATTATGATCGCTGTTCCTGAGAGGCTCCTTTCCTGCCAGATTATTAATTAGTATTGTTTGTTTGCACAATAAAAAATCTGAAATTGCTTGCTCCCCGATATTTTTCTGAATCAATATGTTAGAAAACTAATTTGATCATATGCCATTAACTTATCCTCTGCACTATTATTGTAAATTTGGTTTATCTAGTCTATGCAAATATTAATCCCTAATGATAATTGTGGAATCTTTGTTAAATGTATCTCTAATTTGCTAATTAATAATGTACCTAACATTGCAACTACTGAGTGGGAAGGGTCTGAAATAACTCCACAGATGCCAGTATCCCATTATTTACGCATGAATGGTCCTTGACTGTAGTGCTGCCTGAAACAGAGTCAGGCATTAAAGTGTCAGTATCTCTAACACTGACCCTTTTTTATGTGTCACCCAGGGCTCCCTGATTGGACCAGATTAACACCTCCAAGCAGGGAACTCTATTCTATGGCTGACTTTGTTACAGTCGTTATGGGGTCTATAAAATTCTACTACCAGTGTCTTCAGCCTCTTGTCATTCTGAACCTTGATTATCTATCTGCAAGCACAGGTGAAATTTAATCTGACCCCTGGGAGCTGGTGCTGCGATGAGAGAAGGCAGATGCAGTAGAACTGAGAGGGAAGGCAGGCAATTATCACCTTCCCAACTCTTGATTATTTCACTTAGGCGCAGAAAATTGAGTAATGTCTTCTCACCTGAAGATAAAATATGGCCCTTAATTAGTCACTTAAGAGCTATTTCCTGCCACTGCAGCCAGAAAATCCTCCACCATATAGGAGGAGAGCCTGATAAGAGCTGCTGGCTTCCTTGTGGATCTATACCAGGTGACACAGGCATGAACTCCTGATCAGGCATCTTGAGATCCATGGAACCTCCATCAATGTTATTCGCTCAAAAACAGCTTACGTTAGATGTGTTTTACAATGTTTATTTCTGTTTTCTTGGGTATCATCTTAGTTACCAACATCTTGCTACTTTTGCTGAATGTTCTTTCTTTTCCGACCTATTCCAACCAATTATCCAAATCGCTACTCTGTTGTGTAGCCTTGTTAGTCTTCTTACTGTTCTTAAATTGACTTTCCTAAGTTCATTCTGCAATCTACCAGTTTACTAATTGGATTTATTGGGATACTGTGTATAATTGTTTGATGGTATGGTTCCAACAGCTGGCTTGCTTATATAACAATGAGACAATAGAAACAAATTGAAGAGTTTACAAATAGAAGCAGTTGCAATTTCACTTTTAGCAAATGATGCCTTCAATTGTGACAGGAGTCAGCTTTTCATTGATGACATCAGTCTTCGTGGGATGATTATTTTTTGAACTGTAGTCAGTATCTTGCTGACATTGCTCAACACCTGTCAGTAAAAAAGTCACATTCACTTCAGTAGAAAGAATATAGTTCTTAAAGTAGTACCTAAAAACATTCTAGAGCCTGTTTTAAGATAAAATTCAAATTTTACTGCCTTTGTGTCTTTCTAAAACTCTGGTTAACATTTGCACACTGATCCCATTTTGAGATACAAGAACTGCACATAGAAAATGCATTATGTTATGTTCTGGACGTGATGCAGCTGGACCTGCATACATGGCTTTTGGTGAAGGACAGGCAGTGGTTTGTCTGTTGAAAACAGTGGGAATTGTTCCTAACGAATCCTATGTGTTCATCAAATAGCTTCTGTACATTGTCCATTGTGCTTTTAGGCAAAGCAAGTTTGGCTTCTTCAGCAATTCAGCTGTTTGTGTTCTCAACTTAGTCAACTGTCACAACTCATGAAAAAACTTTTCTAAAAGTGCATATTTGCTCAGTGCCTGAAGGTAAATGGTTTTATTATTGCAATGTGTTAACCATCTTGGTGAATAGTATAACACATCAAAATACTTTGTGTATTTTAGGAACAGGCCCTTTTGGCTCAAGTTGTGTGAAACATTACTGTTCATACAAAAAGGAGACAAAGAGGTTTACCATGGTGCAGTTTGATCAGAGGTCAGGTGGAAAAATTGTAAGTATTTAAATTAAAATTGTTTGCACTTTGCTGTTTTTCATCTTACCTTCAAAACTGACTGTAGAGCTAAAGTTTAAAAATTTTGAAGAATGATTGAGATGCTGCATTGAAAATTTGTTCATAAGCACTGTAATAGTTACTTTCTTTAGCTTTGCATGCTTCACAAGTTGTAGAAGTACAGCTTAACTGCTGGCATATGTAGAGAAAAGTTTGACTAACACCATGTGCAGGGGATTTCCCACTTCAGGAAAATCTGACCGTATAGTTTCTGTATGTCTGCTCCATCAAGACTGTATTAGATGAGTTCTGAGGAAGGTATATATGGAGGATCCACAAAAGAAATGCTGCGGATAATGGTAAAATGATGGATTTCAATTGGAACCTAAGAAACACTTAATACTCAATGTGTATCCTCATTGGCATCTTTTCCAATAGGGTTAGCTTCAGCTTGCCACCTTTGACTTCTGTCTTTATCTTCTTTAATTTTTCAACCACCAGCAACTTGTCTGTTTGTACTTTAGGTTTTCAAACAGTTTGCATGGCAAGCTGCTAAAAATGTAAGCCGGTAATTACATAGCAAGGGAAATGAGCTTGAATTTCCAGTGACATGTGGAGGTGAAGATGGATTTGGAGGCAGGAGGCATTCAGGTGACTCTGTAATCTGCCACTCTTTAAGTTTTCCATTAACTCACTAATGTGCTGCCTAAGCCCTATGCTCTGCAATTGCCTTTGCTGAATCTTTATCCACTCTGTTTCCCAACCATCAAGCTGGGACTTGAAACTTACCCCTTTTTAAAAACAAAGATTTAGGTCAAATGTAATGCACCTCAAGAGCCATTTTGCAAGTTGGCTTATCAAAAGACTGTTTACATCATGAATATGCTTTGTTGATTGTTGAAAGCAAAAGGAAAGTTTAAGTGAGTTTAGTCTGTGTGGCCAAGCTCACATGCATTAATCCAGATATCTCCATAGGTGACTTAAAATTGAATTTTTTTCAGTAATATTCTTACAAACATTCTTTGTGATATTTAGTGCGTCAAAATTATGAAATAATGCAAGTCATTACTATTATTGCTACATTTATTCATCATGTCAAATTCTAATATGGTGTTGACGGAGCAGACGTACAGAAATAAGAATCAGATTTTCCCGGATTGAGGAATCTTTTGCACATAGCATTAGTCAAACATTTTTCTAAATAGAGGGCCAGCACGGTGGCTCAGTGGTTAGCGCTGCTGCTTCACAGCGCCAGGAACCCAGGTTTGATTCTACCCTCGGGCGACTGCGAGTGTGGAGTTTACACATTCTCCCCATGTCTGTGTGGGTTTCTTCTCTGTATTCCAGTTTCCTCCCACAGTCCAAAGATGTGCAGGTTTAAGTGGATTGGCCATTTTAAAATTGCCCATAGTGCCCAGGGATGTGCAGACTAGATGGGTTAGTCATGGGAAATGCAGGGTTACAGGGATAGTGGCGGGAGGGTGAGTGTGAACTTAATGGGCCAAATAGCCTGCTTCCACACTGTAGGGATTCTACGATTCTATGCTCATTGTGTCAACTTGTGAAATTGCTGCACTGAAATGAGCTGGAAGTGGGAACATTTATTTAACAATATGGAAAGGAACTAGAATTGTTGAAAAGTTGAGTGAAATGGATTAGATGAATTTTAAGTCATATCACATACAGAAGGAAAGAAAAAGAGATACAGAAAGGAGAAGTAAGGGAAAAAATTAAATTGACATTTTCACAATTGATTTATATGCTAAAATGAAATTGAGCAATTTAAAATGTCCCCATTCTGACTGGAAAAGCTGATTGTTATTGCATTGCAGCAGGATTCTTAAGCTATTTATGAAAGATACAAGTTTCTAAGTATTTTTAATCTGTTGAACAGACATGTTATGACATACCTTTAGACACGTGGGACAAGGAACCTAGGCTTTCTGGCCCAGAGGGATGGACACACGGAGATAAGGAGAAACTTCTTCAGCCAGAGAGTGGTGAATCTATGGAATTCACTGCCACAGAAGGCTGTGGAGGCCAGGTCATTGAATACATTTAAGACTGATATAGATAGGTTCTTGATTATCAAGGGGATCAAGGGTTACAGGGAGAAAGCGGGAGAATGGGGTTGAGGAACTTATCAACCATGATTGAATGACGGAGCAGACTCGATGGGCCGAATGGCCTAATTTCTGCTCCTCTGCCTTATGGTCTTATGGATACTGCCACTGCTGTACAATACCCCAGATCTATGTTCCCTTGATGAACTTAATAGACCAATACTATGTAAATCTAGTAAGTTTCTGAATAATTAGGTGATGGCAACTAAAGGCAAATTACTGAGACAACAAGGGGCAGGGCTGGATGAACACAGCAGGCCGAGCAGCATCATAGGAGCAGAAAGGCTGACGTTTCGGGCCTAGACCCTTCATTAGAAAAGGGGGAGGGGAAGGATGTTCTGAAATAAATAGGGAGAGAGTGGGAGGCGGATAGAAGATGGATAGAGGAGAGGATAGGTGGAGAGGAAACAAACAGGTCGAAGAGGCGGGGATGGGGCCAGTAAAGGTGAGTGTAGGTGGGGAGTTAGGGAGGGGATAGGTCAGTCCAGGGAGGATGGACTGATCAAGGGGGCGGGATGAGGTTAGTCGGTAGGAGATGGGGGTGCGGCTTGAGGTGGGAGGAGGGGATAGGTGGGAGGAAGAACAGGTTAGGGAGGTGGGGACGAGCTGGACTGGTTTTGGGATGTGATAGGGGGAGGGGAGATTTTGAAGCTTGTGAAGCTTGTGCAGTTCCTACTATCTCTGATTCAAAGGCAAATTACTGTTTAGTGAAACCAATGGTAAATTTATTATGTGAATCAACCAGCACATTCTGGAAATTCCAAACTTATGGCATACTTTTTTTAACATGCTGGTTGATGTGTACATTAATAATGTGTGTTGTAAACGTGCTCTTATTTTTACGACAACACATCTGGCCCAACATTTTGCTGAAAAAGTGATTTAACTTTGATTATTTTCTTTGAGAAATGGATTAATTTGTACTATGGTAACAAATTGCTGAGGTGTAAACTCCCACTATAGTAAGTAAACAATATATGTGTGAGGGGTTTTGTGATGCTTCAGTGACATGATCAAGTGCCATATAAATTTGACCTATTTTTTTCCTTAACGTTGAAATGTTTATGATGTGACTGTGTAATACCATGTAGCATGTTAATTTTGAACTTAACCTGGAATGTTTTCTTTAAAATAAATTAAGACTTGTGTGTATTCTTTTTCGTTAGGGTGATGAAGACACCTTCATTCTTAAATCCTGCACAAGAAAAAAATCCGATGCCACAGACAAGAGATTTTGTTTTGATATAGAAGCAGTGGGCAGGTAAGATAGCTTTTTGTACTTCAGTCGCAGATGGAAAAACAATATTTGTACCTATTTGGAGATTATTCTTACTCTGCAAGTGCACCTTTTCCTTGACCATTGAGTGAGTTAAGTAAGTGATGCAATGTTTTGGAGTCCAGAAGTCACTAGTAATGACAATTTGAAAGACAAGTGTGGTTATGAACATATATAATTGACAGTTTGGAAAGCACCATTTTCATCCATCATACTGTCCATACCATGATGACCAGACCATCATGGTTGAGCTCTTCAAGTCATTGGAGACAGGTCACCTCCATTTCATGACCACTGTGAGATTATGACATGAAATGCTGCATGGAGACTTAGAATGTTTCAATATCTGAGCAATTGAGAATGATTATGAATACTGCGCAATCATCATTGAATATCCTCTCTTCTGACTGTATGATAGAGGATACGTCATTGATGAAGCGGCTGAAGATGTTTGAGGTTAGGACATTAGGACCTTGACAAACTCATGCAGTGACATTCTGAGAGTCTGATCATAGATCTTGAACAATAACAAGCATTTTCCATTGTGCTAATCTCCACTGGTGGACTGCAGCGGTTCAAGAAGGCAGCTCACCACCACCTTCTCAAGGGCAGCTAGGGATGGGCACTAAATGCTGGCCAGCCAACGACCCCCAATCCCACAAATGAATAGGAAAAAGAACTGTCAACTTATAGTTGTAGGAATTAATGTTGAAGCGTTGTTTTGACAAATATGATTCTTAAATCTTTATTTAAAAGTTATTATCTGTTAAATTTGTTCCCCACACTTAGAGCTGAGAGAGCTGGATCAGTCCACATGAAAATCTTGAAGGTGGCAGGTTGAACTGATAAATGAAGAGTAACATTCATACCATAAAAAGGCTAGTCAATAACCATTTCCAATAAGGGAGAACCTGATGACTTCCTCTTGTCATAATTATCACTGAGCCCCCCCAACAACTGCATTCTGGGTGGAGGACTGTAGGGAGCAGGGGAAGGTGGTTACCATTGACCAGATAGTGAAGCTGTGTAAGTACAGTGGTGACAAGATCAGATTAGCGGTTGGCTATTCTGTGCTGAATTCTCAGAGCCTGTGCATCTATGGGGCATAAGTGAGTTGTGATATGGGTGCTTTCTACTTTCCTGGATAAATGCAGTTCCTATAACACTGAAGAAATAAGGCACCATCAAGTCAAGGCAGCCTGATTTATTGGTATCATCCGCCACTTTAAACATTTGCTTCCTCCAACATCGCTGCACCTTAGTTTTCCAAACATACAACAGCGATGTCCTAGAAGGACAAGGGTAGGAGGAACTTGGAAGCATCACCACTGCATGTTCCCCTCCAAGTTACTCAGCATCTTGACTTGTAAATATCACCATTCTTCATTCTTGCTGAGTTCACTTCTTTCCTAACTGCTCTCTAAGCATTACCTTTGACGGATGGATTGCTGACACACAAGCAGCACTCTCAGTCAATCAGGAATGTGTGGTAAATGCATGATTTGCCAATGATACCTACTTCCTGTGAATAGAAATAAAAAATAAAAGTTAAAATGGCTGTTAAAGGAAGATATAAGATCATTGGCATCATAAATCAAGGCTTAAAAGAGGATGAACACAAGGAGGTGATGCTAAACCTTTATAAATTATTGGTTGGAGCTAAATTTGTGGACCCATTTCTAGCTAGGTTGTCACGGACTTGGAAGGGGCACAGATTAATTTATGGAAGTGATGGACATTCCTAATATGAAGAGACAATAGGAGCTAGGGATGTTCTTCCCAGCACAGAGAACTTTCAGTGATTTAATAAAGATTCAGTTTGAAGACTTTGGAATAAATGAGGATAAACTATTTCCATTGTCAAGCGAGTTGGCAACCAGAGCAAATAGATCTAAGGTAATTGGCAGAAGAACCAGTAAGAGCTAATCATTTTTTTTAATACAACAAATTGTTTTGAACTGGAATGTCCTGCCTCAGTGGGTGTTAGAAGGTGATTCAGTCCTAACTTTCAAAAGGTAATAGATAATTGTAGGGAAATATTTGCAAGGTAATAGATAAAGAGCATGGGAGTAGGACTGATAGTTAGCTCTTTTTAAGTGCCAGCACAAGCAGAATTAACCAAAGGGTCACCTGCTGAATGGTGTGGTCCTGTGGTATTCATTATATCTTTATATGTGTGGCTAGCAAATCCAGCATCTGCCCTAACCGCTCTTGAACTAAGTGGCTTGCTGGATCATTACAATGGGCAGTTACAGGTCTACCAAATTGCTGTTGGTCTGGAGTCGCATGTGGGCTAGACAGGGCAAAGATGCCAGATTTCCTTCACTGGAGTACATTGTGTACCAGATAAGTTTTGCAGCAATCTGTGTAATTGTCATGGTCACCCTTAGAGTCTAGATTTATATTTCTGATTTATTAATCAAACTTACTTTTCACCCCTGTTGCCCAAGCCTTAGCCTGAGTCTCTGCATTATTTGTCCGCTGGCATTACCATCTCCTACTACTGCTCTGTGTCTTGTGTTCCCAACTCCTAGCTTCCAAGTGCCCCACGTTTTCCTGTTCCACCAAGTCACAATGTTCCATAGTCATAGAAAGGTACTGGCTTTCATTTCATGGGTATTTCTAAGGCGGCTAACAGTAGTAAGGACCACTTAGGCACTTTCCCCTCCTTGTTTGCCCAGCACAAGACTTCCAGAAGCTTCAGAGTGTCATGGGATGTCCCTCTTCAACCAGATATGGTTCTCCCTGCTGAGGATTGTCAGCATCTATTTCCTGTATGCTGACCTGACCAGCTGTAGCTGCTTGTCTGTGTGAGGCCTCTTTTACTGCCCAAATTCACAGGGACTGACACTCAGCCCAGCTGCTCTTGCCTTTGATTTCTGCTGTGAACACTTTGCTTCTTGCTCTCAGTATGCTTCAACTTGGGTCCACAGTATCCATGGTAACTAAGTGTCACAGGCTTGTTGGGAAGAGCTCATTACAGATCTCATGACCCTCTTCACTCCATTTTACCTTGAATTAAAGAGACAGTCCTAAACATAATCCTTAGTAAAGCCTCACATAAGTAACAATTTGAAAATGACTGACTGTGTTTCATGTCCTACAAAAATGCAGCTTTATGAGTATCATCAGCCCAAGCTGCAGGGGTAGCTTGTGCATATCGGATAATTCAGCAGCAATGGTTTGACCTTCCATTTCAAACATTTACTTTTTCATGTTGATATGCTTTGCAGGCAAGGTGTGATTACCATGCAGGCTATTACAGAAGATGATCGCAGGCGGTGGATGGAAGCTTTGGATGGAAAAGAACCCGTAAGTTAGAATGAACATTCAGCGCTTTGATATTGTGTGGCTGTGAAACCTGGTGTTTAACAGTGATTTTAATATTCTTTAGTATGTAATGTATCGTGCTATAAAAGATAATAGAGTGAAATTGGTACACAGTATGTTAAATAGGATTTAAATTTTCCATTTTGTTTATCATTAAATGCACTGCTAATAGTGCAATTCATTGAACAATGTGCTTTGTCGAAACTTGGCTGCATTGGGCATTGGGAAATAATACAGAATTGAGCAAATTTTCAAAAAGAATGCTTCGCAGTCAGCTTAGCAACCATTTAACTAGTACAGTTAACTGCTATACTATGAGCCAATACAGTTGTGGAGTGTATATTTTCTTAGAGAAATGTTGGGAGAGTGCTGAACCTAAGTCCTTAAATTTATCAATGATCTCCCAATCATGGCAAGAGACAAAGTTGGCTGCTCAGTAAATTTCTAAGCGTAAGAGGGAATGGGCGTCTTTTACCTTGGAAGCTGATGTGGGATCACAAATCCACAAAAGTGAATAGTGTCAAGTGAGAAATGAGAATGAATAAACTTACAGATATAACACTATTGATCTTCTTCAAAGTTATAGAACATCTTTTTCTTTTTGGCTTGATCAAATAATCTGGAAATGGAAAGATATCAAAATGGTCGAGAATTGGAAAAACAGTTCAAAAGAACTTATAAAGAAGAAGTTATGAAATATTGAAGACAATCTATAATAATTTACATCTAGAGATGACATTTGCTTAAATGTTTTTGATTCAGATAAATTTTAAGTAGGGCAAAAAACTGCTGCTGCTTAAAGTACATAGTGCAAAATATTTGCATTTCCAAAATACATTTTTATATTAGAAAAGGATATCCTTATCAAAGGGAACTGAAGTCATAAAGTGGTAGTTCTGAGCAATTCTTCCTTTGAAAAGATATCATTGCTGTTCCTTGGACTGAGAAGTAATACACATGTGACAAATGACTGCAAAGCGAGGACAGTTCAAATAGTACCTGCCTGAAAAGAGCAATGATTAAAGTGAGGGCTTGGTCTGCAGTCAGGAAGTGTGTCCTAAATACAAGAACGGATAGGTGGCTGTACAGCTAACTTTCTACCTGGTATTGTCTTTAGACAATTGGCACAAGAAGTGCCAAAACTTTTTAAAAAAAAAAAAAAAAGTATCCCATTAACTGGATAAGGCAGGCAACTCCTGGTTCACAAACAGACAATGTCAGCATGTTGAAGCAAACAGATCAGAGGCAGGCATCACCTACATCTTTCAGCAGTAAATTAGAATGAGTGATTCAGAATAAACTCTGGAAGAGAAAGAACAGCCATGTTACAACTTATTGTTTTAAAAATTAGCCTGTATCTTCCAGTCTTCAAAACTTAGAAACAAGATGCTCTCTAAAGGATTTGCATTAGGAAGTCCTGACACCTTACTGAGCACTAATTGCCTGTTACCTGGGAAGTTTAAACTTCTGATGGGCAATTGCTATGTATATAGTTGGATGTGCTGCCCCTTTGAGAATTGGTCAGATGACCTGGACAGGCAGAGTTTGAGTCCAGTCTAGCATCGGCTGTAGAAGTGAGCATTGTTAATAGTGTTCCTGTTCAGATTCACCATTTGTCTACCATGTGTATAATTCCTCGTTCCAAAGAAAGCACCAACTTAACAACTGGTGATGAGAGGGGGGTCCGGCCCACAAATTGGGTGCAGATGACTTTTTTTTTGTCTGGAGGACATATCGGCTAGACTTCAGAAATGATGTTAGGAAGTAATGTCTAGGGAAATGGTCACGTTGAAAGAAGCTACTCATTGGGGACAGGGCCAGGAGCTGTGCTTGTGAAAGGATTCGGGTTGGCAGCTGAAGAAGAGAGTATGCACCCGGGAGCTACTGAGGTCGTTGTGGAGAGTAGTCGTGATGGGACTCTGGCTGCAGGCAATGCCAAGGAGAAGTGAGCCAGTGAGGCAGCAGCTGGCTTGGGACTGTTTATTGAGGGGACTTGGGCTGTGAATGGTGTCTAGACTTTAGTAGCAGGAAAAGTTCCTGTCAGCAGGAAAACAAAATGGCAGACCAATTTGGAGCAATGGGACCATTTGATGGAGAGTCAGAAAATTGGATTTTACACATAGAACACTTTAGTTCATTCTTCAAGGCGAACAAAGTGGCTGAGGACTTCATGGTACCTGTTTTCTTAAGTATCATTGGGAGCAAGACCTTCATAATTCAGGGAGTCAGGTGCAACCAGGGAAACCCATGGAGAAAACATTCCAAGAGCTATACAAAGTGTTAGGAAATTATTTTGCACCAAAGCCACTGATGATTGCAAAAATTTCCATTTTTATAAATGGGTACAGCATGAAAAATAGTCCATTGCCCAATTTGTGGCCACATTAATGAGGTGGCAGTACATTGTGAATTCGGATGGTTCCTCTAAGATGTCTTGCGGGACCATTTGGTTTCTGGCCTCTTGATATGAAGCCATCCAACAGAAGTTATCAACAAGGAGAGACCTGGATTTCAAGTCAGCTTTTGAAATTGCTACCTTGATGGAGTTGGCCGCCAGTGAAGCACCACAGTTGAGTGATAATGCACAGGTGTTTCAAGTAGCAGATACTCAGCAGAGTGCGGTACCAACTGTAGAATGCTGCTGATGTGGCAATTGCGGTCGCACGAAGTCAGCATGTAGGACTCGAAGCACAGTGCTGCAGGTGTAGGCAAATGGCCATATTGCCTGTATTTGTCAGGTACAACTGAAGCAAGAGAAATGGAGTCTAAAGAAGACAACTCCGAGAACAAGACATAAGGTAAAAGTACATCTAAGGGACCGGTGTGCCGTATTGCTACTTTGCATAGTAAAATGCGAAAATCCTGAACTATTCAGATGCTCCTGGCTTAAAAAAATTAAGTTTGAACTGGGGCATGGTTAATAGGCTGGCAGACTCAAACACGAGTTTGCAAGAGATCCTGGACAACTACAAAAATGTCTCCAAAGGAATCTTGGGCGAAATGAAAGGAGTCAAAATTAAATTGCAGCTGAATCCAAAGGCTCATCCTAGAGTCTGAAGGAGTGTCCGGTACCGTGCACCGTCCAGCTGAAAGTGGAGGTGGAGGTAGAACAACTGGTGAACCTGGGAGCATTGGAATCATTAATCACCAGTGAACATGGCATTCCAATCGTTCTGGTCTTAACAACAGTGCGGTGAGGATTTGTGGTGAATTTAAGGTCACAGTCAGCCCAGCCATGAGTGTGGATCAATACCACCTTCCACATGTAGAAGACCTGTTCAGTGGACTGGCAGGGAGAAACAAATTCTCAAAAATGGATGTGTCCCCGGCCTAGCTGGGGATGGAGGGGGGGCGTTCAAGAAGAGGGCCTGGCTGTTGCTGATGATGGTGATACACAGGGGACTGTTCCACTACAAGTGACTGCTTTTTGGCATCACGTCAGAGCTGGCTCTGTTCCAGAGGGCCATGGACCAAATATTAAGTGGAATGCCAGGAGTCCAGTGTTATCTGGATAATATTTTAATTACTGGTTCCTTCAAAGAGGAGGATTCAAAAAACCTAGAAGAAACCCTAAAAAGGTTACAGGAGCACAGCCTACAAGTAAAATGGGAGAAATGCGAGTTTTTTAAAGACTCCATAGCATACCTGGGCCATGTAATCAATGGCAAGGGACTATACAAGACTCCCAGGAAGATGGAGGCTGTCATGAAGGCCCCTAACTAGAGAATGTGGCTCAACTGAGACCATTCTTGACACTTGTAAACTACTATGGCAGATTCATGTCTGACACTGTGCTAAAATCCCTGCACTGGTTGCTAAGAAAAGGGTGGCCATTGAAATGGATCAGGAATGTGGCGAGTTTTATTGCAGGTGAAGCAAGCCTTAAAAAGGTTGGAAGTGTTGACTTATTTTGACCAGAAGTTGCCACTGCAGTTAATGCGTGATGCCTCGCCTGTGGGATTGCACCATAATCTCACACATTTTACCAAGTGGAGAGAAAAGACCCATCGTATTTGCATGGAGGCCACTAAAGTCAGAGGAGATGTTTGTCCAAGTGGAAAAGGAAGAATTGGGTATCATGTTTGGTGTTAAGATGTTGACCCAGTTCCTTTTATAGCAAGCACTTTATGCTACTGACAGAGTATGGTCACTAACCTCAATTTTTGGCCCATATACAGGGATACCGTCAATGGTGGCAGCACGCCTGCAGCAATGGGTACTGGCTGTGTCAGCCCACTCACATAGGATCAAATACTGACAGGCGGAGAAGCACAGCAATGTAGATGCTTTGTCAAGGTTACCGTTACTGGGAAATAAGAATGTTCCTGACTGGAACCTGAAAATTATGCACTTTTCCCAGGAAGACAAGATGCCATTGTCAGCGAATCAGGTAGGGAATGCTACCTGGAGTGACCTGGTTTTTACCCAAGTGGTGGTCTTAGTCCTAAGAAGAAGGTGTTGTCATAGAAACTGCCCAGAATTATGCTCTTACTGGCCAGGAGGTGGAAGTTGTCTGTATCAGAAAGTGTTTAATGTGGGAAACGAGACTTCTTATCCTGTTAAGAGGAAAGATGCTGGAACAAGTGCATCAAGGGCGCCCTGGTGTGGTGTGAATGAAAGAAATAGCCAGAAGCTACTTTTGATGTCTGAATGTGGACTCCCAGATTGATGAGAAAGCAGGATCATGTGAATCCTGCGCATTGGTAAGGAAGGTGTTGCCGTTGCCACCCCTTACCCCATGTTAATGGACTCAATCACTGCAGGAGTGGATTCATGTAGATTTCATTCGACCAGTTGAGGGACAGATGTTAGTGGTCATGGATACCTATTCCAAGTGGCCCAAGGTGGTGGTCATGAGTCAGTATCAGTGAAAACAATGATAGACTGACTGGATGAAATAATTGCCAGGTGCAGGAACCCCAAACAAGTCGTGAGTGGCGATGGTTCACAGTTTGTGGTGCAAGAGTTCAAGGAATACCTAGAAAATCATAGAACCGGACATGTGAGATCACCTCTGTATCACCTGGTGACAAACAGCCAGGAGGAAAGAGTTGTTAAAACCTTGAAGTAGGCCTTATAGGCTCCATAATGGGAGGAGCCATGAGGACGGTGACTCAACAGGTTCCTCAGCACATACACAAACACACCACACAGGAGGACCTAGTGCTCAACAGCAACCTTAATGCTCAACCACCAGCTGTTAACCATGTTTGACTTACTGCGGCTAGAAGAAACTAGAGAGATGGTAGAACGAAGTCAAGGACTGATGGTCAGAAGGGTGGGAACCTCACTGTCGAAGGTATTCCAAAGAGGAACAACTGTCAGCCGGAATTATACATCTGGGGAGAGATGGATGCCAGCGGTGGAGGTGGCTCAAACAGGACCGTTGTCATATACGGTGCAGACTAGGGATGAGCTGGTCTGGAGGAGATGCATGGACCAGCTGATCATTGCGCCTCACCAACAGGGGGATGTCCCTCAGAATACCAAGCTGGTCCGGATGGGTCCAGTGGTGTCGACCAAGTGATATGTCTCCAAGCCAGAGTTGACCATACCCAGGGAGGAGACAACAGCAGCGTTGCAGGGCGACAACAGCCAATCAGAGAGGGACATATCTGTGGAACAACAGAAGCTTCCGGAAGCCTGGGAGATCGCACTAGAAAATGTTCCTAAGTTGATGAGATGGTCTTCTGGAAATCACAGTCCCCCTGAGAGACTGATTTGCGTCAATGTAGACGATGGACAGAATGTCCTATATATTGGGGGAATGGTGATTCTTCCATGGTGTTCCCATGCTTTTATACATAGTCAGGAATATTTACATATGTTGGCTGCAATGCCTGTGTAGTGTTGATAATTGGTGTATATATATTTATTAATGGGAGCTTTAAAACAAAGGGGGAGAAGTGTTATTAATAGAATTGTGCGTGTTGCCCCTTTGAGAGAGTGTCAGGTGACCCAGAGGGGCAGAGTTTAGGTCTAGTGTCGATCAGGCTGTAGTGATGTGAGTATTGTCAATAAAATGTTCCTGTTCAGATTGACCATCTGTCTACCTGGTGTGTAATTCCTGGTTCCAAAGGAAGCACCAACATAACAGCAATTATCTGCCATGCGGATTTGGCACTCTGAAAAAGTCCCCAACTCTGCATTCAGAAGTGCTTCCCTTATTGGTTAACTAGGAGAGGTTACAGGATTAAAAACTGACCCTAGCCCGAATCTGAACCCTTGCCTAAACCTGATACCCAAATGCCCCACAACCCCAGACTCCAGACCCCAAACCCGTACCCACTAACGTGACACCTGTACCAACTCACCTACCATCCAGCCATTCCATCTTCCATTACCTGGCACCTTCTGCTCATCCAACTTGCAACCTACCCCCTCACTCACTCACCTAGCATAATACCCCTTTACTAATCCACTTGCCTCCCTACTCCCTCTCCTGTTTACCTGACAGATTTCTGAGTAGCTGTCGAAATGGCTTTGGGACCTTTAAATATTTTCTGTTCTGGAACCCTATTGCAGTAAAAATGGGGCATAGTTCCTAAGATAGTTCACTGTGATTTTGTCTGTATGGTTTGTTAGACTGCATTTGTTGTAATGGCATCTGCACCAGATGGCTGGCTGGAAAGATCTTGGGTAGGTAAATTGATAACTTCTTATCTGATCTGGCATGGAATCAGGGATTCTAGTCCCAGTGGGAAGATTCAGGTCATCATTTTGAGTGTTTGATTAATTATCTTTATTTCTAACAATCCATTACCTGCTAAACAGTTGCAACAAGAAAATTATCAATTTTGGGAATAAAAAACTGCCCAATTTAACATAAAATTACTCCTTGGATAAAAGAGTGCTTTAACCTTTAATCTGACAAAAGATGCAAATGCCTGTACTAACTGTGTTGCTTTTAGTAGTTGCTTTCAACACATCATCTGCCTCTGGCTCTTATTTGTTGCTGCTCTGCAACATAATTACAGACTGTATTTCTTTACATGGCTGTGCTGTGAAGCATATGATATATGCTCTGTAAGCACAATCTAGGACACTTTACAGACCACCTTTATGCAATGAAACTTTCAAAACATTGTTTGAGAATGCCGTTTTTGCTCCTTCATTCTTGACATTGTGGAGAAGGATGTGTGTGCAGGACATATAATAATGTGTGCCATGCTTTCAAATACCTCCAAAGGACTTCGCTGTTCAGTCATCACTCTGTGGAATTCTCTTAAGGTATGAGTGACGTAGCTCATTCTTAGAAACAAATACATTCTTACATTTAGAAGTGTTTACTGGCCTTTTGGATGAACACTAACTGATGAATCTTGAAATAAAAGAGGGTAAAAATTACGAAAGATTAACCTTTTCTACCTAATGTCATAAAAATATGAGTCCCCTCTCAAATGTCTACTTTTAAGGCTCCAAGTTGTCCAGACTTATTCATAATAAGATCTTCTGAAATGAGGAATCAGCTGCAGTTCCCCTTTAACTTTTTTTCTAGGACTTGAATGTTTTATTTGTTTCACAATGACGAGAAATAAGCACAGTGTTCGTGTTGCCACGTCAACTTGGTACTAGTCAGGCTTAGCATAGTTTCCTCAGACTTGAACTCTCTCGATTTGACAACACAGCTCAGCATGCTGTTTACCTTTTGTTATGTGTTATTCTGCAAGGAGTAAACATGGTCAATTCAGAGCCTACTCTCACTTCCAGTTTCTTGCTTGGTTAGTTCTGTGCCATTCAATAATCTCAATTTTTCTCTTAAAGCCCTTTGATTTCAGTTGTAGGACCTTTTCACACGTTAGCAGCTTGCCACCTACTACTTTCCTTCGTGTTATCTCTAAATTTGATTGGCTTTCATTGTGCTTCTGAAACGTAGTCATTTGCCTGGAATAAGAGCCATGTGGATGGGATTGGGAGCTTAACGGGTTAGCGTGCTGTCAAATATTTGTCCTATTAAGATATCCAACCAAGAAAAGCAAATACAGTTGAGAACGTTAATGTAATAGCATTTACATGGTGATAGGAATTATAGCTTATGAGAGTTAGGATAAACCTACAATACAACTTCATCTTTCTTTCACAGTGGATACTATTTAGTCAATTCACATGGAAGTTTACAAGTGCTCTGCAAGAATTGTCACCAACTAATCGAAAAGTAAATTCTATGTCAAAAGAACTATTTTAAAAAAACCATTAAGTTGCATTTAGATATAATTCCCATTCTATTATTCTTTATTATAATGTTGGTGGACTGATACATGTCTACTGTGGACAGCTCCTGCAACCAAGCCAATGTTGAATATAGTGCTTTGCTTTCCTTTGGACCTAACCAAGGATGTTAAGAAGGGTTTGTGTATTTGGACAACCTAGCATCTCCATATATTTTGCCCAGACTTGTCCCCCAAAGTGGACATTCCAGTTTCGCTGCAATGTTAACAACAAAGGTATTGTACAAACATTCAGTGTCTTGCCTTGGCTAATGACTGTGATCATGGCTTTCAATGCAATGGCAGTACAGATGTTTTCAGTTTTCACAGTATGGCTAAGTCCTTAATTATAGAGATGAATTTACTCTATCTCTCATTTCCTGGTGATTTTCTGTCTCAGGTATTGTAACAATGTTTCTTTAAATGACAGGTATATTTAATTACTAGGAGTAATTCCAAGAAGGAAGGAAGTAAGTATACCATATATATTGAAATGTTAAATCTTGTTGTGGATTATCTACCATTTGTATTATTGATTTTTTTTTTACCTCATTCAAGCTTTGAACTAATATTCTGTACAATTTAGAAAGTCTCTTGTACTCGAAGATAAGTTGTCAGCGCACCATATTATTAATTTTCCTTCTAATATATTAAAATTATGGTTTACATTTTTAATGCTGTCATTATGTTGTTCCGTCAACTCATTGAAAAATCTTGCACAAGAACTTCTCATTTCAAAATTAAATTAATTGTTTAGCATTTATTAATACAACAAAGGCAACTTTATCTTCTTCTACTAAGGTGTCCAACTGGATGAAGTGGGTTTCAACATAATAAAGAAATGCATCCATGCTCTCGAAACACGGGGTAATCCGATATTTTACTTTTGAAACTGATTATATTAAAGCAACTTATTGAAGTGAATAATACTTTTTAATATTTTGAATAAAAAGGGTTTAACAATATTGATGTTCTCTGTCACCATTTTGCTACTTGTAAAATAACTGCAGATGTATATGTTAAGTCGCCATTTTTAATGCATATACTTAATTGATCTAATTAGTTTTGATGGTGAATTATATCAGTGATTAGTTTTTTTTTGATGCATCTGTGAGGATTTTCCGATGTGTCTTCCAGAACTCCAAAACAAACCACCTTACTGCCAATAATAGTTTGTAGTAAACATATAGTTAATTATTTTAAAATAATCATCTTTGCAAGTAATACATATTTCATTGGTAGTAATAAGAAAAACAGAAACTAGTGCAGTGGGTAATGTCCTTGCCTCTGAGCCAGATGTTCAAGTCCCACTCCAGGACTTGCTGACCATAAAGATGAATTCATAATGCAATCAAACAGGTTGAGTATCAGTCTGCAAATGCCTCCAATATAGGCCAGTAGAAAAAGTGGGAGAGATTCTTTTGAAAGAAAGAAAATGGAGTTTCTGTCATCACTATTCATTGTAATCAATGTGTGTACATGAAAGTGCATGTCACCACAACAATGCAGACTCCTTGAGGGGGTCAGTTGACTGGGTGGCTGGTATGGATCGGAATGGTGTGAACAGCGTGGTGTTATATGCCTGTTCTGGTTGGGGTGGATTTGGACCTGCTGTTTTGCCCTCCTGTTGGTGGCGATCGCAGTACTGGCATTCAGGTACCTTTGGGCAGACAACTAGAGAAGTGATATGGGGAAATCCTCCTGTTTTGACATAAAGAATGGTGGGTGGGGGAGATTAATTGGGTGGTGTCCAAAATTCAGAATCCCTCAGTGCAGGAGTCAGAAAATCTATTTGCATGCACTTATATCTCATAAAAAAAGACTTACTAGCTGGAATTAACTGTTCCCCCCCAATTGAGTTCTGCTCAGTTGAGAAATTTGCATCTTCAGATTCTTGAGTCAGTACCTGGTGAGTTTGATTTCCTCCAGATCTTTGGAGTGAATACTTGCTGCTTTGACCTTCTAGCAATACAACTTTAAATCAAAGTTATGTTGAGTTACAGTCTTGGTCTTCCAAGTGAAGGCAACATAAGAGAGGTAGAATCAGTTGGAAATGGTGGAACACCGTCCAAAGAAAGGGGAGCACTGAATGAGGAAAGAAGGAAGGATAGACAAGGCAGCTTGTGTCTGTCATATCCTGGATTGGTTAGATTGATAGCCAGGCAGTGTATGTCACAGATAGCTGAGTCATGAGGATGTGGTCATTGGTGTCAGGAGTTTGTCAGCGAGTCTGAATGGTGATGATGTGTGTCAGGGGGTGTAGTTGTATTTGGATGGTGCGCAGCAGTTCCAAGGTCAGGAGTAGGAGTTGTATTTGTATTTGTGAGGAGGTTGCGGCAGGGGTGGGGAACATGAAAAATGAGGCTGTTGGTTGCCTCAACATTGTGATGGGTCAAAGTCAGGAGGGTATTGGGAAATCAATAATTAGTGGCTGGCTTCAGGATATGAGTAGGAAAATCAACATACACAATATGGGAAATTTGGGAAATTCATTGATTCAAGGGTGAGGGTCAACAGGAATCACAAGCTGTTGCAGGGGAAAGATAATGAGAGGAAGTTGGTGGGTGAGGGGGCAGAGGTTGAATGTATTGGTTCTCACAGAAAAGGTGAAGTAAAGCATCTTTTTAAAACGCAACTGCAGTTACCCGTGCTGGACAAAAGGTGACACCCAAAGTAGGAGGAGCCCTTTACTGAGGAAAAGATGATTGCTGCCAACTGAAGGGACATCCTGTCACTCATGAGTGGAGTAGATAGGGAATCATCCTAATCTGAGTGCCACTCCCTATGAACCAACATCACTTCAGAACTCATGCCATCATCTTCCCATGAGATCTCATAAGGGTATGGCATTCTAGTACACTGGGCTGTTTGGCGTCTTGTGATGTCAAAGTTAGAATATTGGTGAAGTGGGCAGGTGTAAACCATAAAGGTTCAGGTGGCCGAGGGTGACAGTCTCATTGGGGAATTGATGGTCTCGTTGTATTATTGCTAGATTATTAATCCAGAGCCCAAGTACTGTTCTGGGGCCCCAAGTTTGAATCCTGCCATGGTAGATGATGGAATTTGAATTCAATAAAAATCTGGAATTAAGAGTATGATGTTGACCATGAAACCATTGACAATTGATCGAAAACTCCAAGTTCACTAGTGTCCTTCAGGGAAGGAAATTGCCATCCTCACCTCGTCTGACCTACATGTGACTCTAGACCCACAGCAACGTGGTTGACTCTTAACTGTCCTCTGGACAGTAGGGATTGGGCAATAAATACTGGCCTAGCCATTGATGCCCACAACGTGTAATGAATAGAAAATAGTCTCCAGGACTGGAATTTCCTGTTCCCTGGTTCGATGCTCATGGCATTGGGGGAATGGATAACAGATTTCTTGTTTCAAGGGTGCAGTGGTTTGATTTCAACCTCGCTGAAGTACCCCAGCAATATACAACATCTCAATGTACATGAATCTTTTGTCATAACGGGTATCTTATATTTTAATATCTTCAATAACAGGAATCTGTTCTTCATTAAATATTGATGTATAACTCCACTACATGCTGTACCTGCTGCCTACTTTTTTTTGTTTCCTGTTTACTGTGAAGACCAATAAGTTATATTCTCAGGAATAGGAGGCAGAAATAAACCATTTGCAGCACAGCAAATCTATGCTGTGTCAGAAGAGATTTTACTTAGAAATACTGAGTATGCGTTCCAGATAGTAATTCTTGTTCAGTTATCCTGAATTGTTGCTAAAATCACTGGTACTATTTACAGAAAAGAATAATTATCACATTCATGAAATGTGAAGATAAGACTGTTAGCAGTTTTCTTAATTATTACTGTTAATAAGATATTCTTTTTGATCTGTTTTTTTAGGACTTAATGATCAAGGAATATATAGAGTTGTTGGAGTCAGCTCAAAAGTCCAGAGGCTTATGAGTTTGCTGACTGGTAAGTGTTTTGACAAATATGCTGGATAAATACAACTACATTCAGACCAGAATTATTGTCCATAATTTTTTAAAAATTGTCGAAATTCATAGACTTGTAGAACCTTCCTAGAAGAAGGAAGTGATTTAGTGCTTTGTGAAGTGCTAACTCCTTGAAAGAGTTATTCCCTTTTTGCCCCAATCCTGCTATTTTTTTTCTCAGGTATGTATCCATTACCTGTAGAAAGTTGCTATTAAATTTGCTACTCTCAACCTTTTAGACAGTACATTCCAGTTCACCACAACTCGCTATGTGAGAGAATGTCCCTCTGGTTCATTTAGCAATTTTCTTCAATTTGTGTGCTCTGCTTGCTGTCCTGCTTACCAGCAGGAAAAGTTTCTGCTTATCTACTTTAATAAAACCCTCATGTATTTTGAATTCGTCTACCAGATACCCCCTTAACCTTATGCTGCATGCAGAATACTCCCAGCTTCTTTGGTTCCGTGACATGATGAATTTTATCTAGGCGAGCATGCAGTGCTGAATATAGAGTCATAGAGATGTACAGCACGGAAAGTGACCCTTCGGTACAGCTCAGTCATGCTGACCTGATATCCTAAATTAATGTAGTCCCATTTTCCAGCATTTGGCCCATATCCCTCTGAACCCTTCCTTTTTATGTATCCATAGGGAGTGGAGAGTGAATATTCTCACACTGATTGTGGAAACAGTTTTTACGTTGTTGTTGTTGTTGAATGGCAAAGTGTTTCTAACAGCTGAAATTTCCGATGACTGCCTATTAAGTCAATGAATTAAATGATTCCAATGAAGTTTGGTGTTTTGTATAAGAGTGAAAATAAAATGCCTCCTTCCCAGTTATACATGTAAGTAAACAGGCAAATCAAATGAGGTTTGGTGAACTGCAGTGCAGCTAGCCATGTTGGAATATGAATGATGTGGCCTTAACAGAGCTCAGCACATCTGGCAGCATCTGTGGAGGAGAAAACAGAGTTAACGTTTCGGGTTCAGTGACCCTTCCTCAGAACTTAGTTCGGAGAAAGGGTCACTGGACCTGAAACGTTAACTCTGTTTTCTCTTCCACAGATTCTGCCAGACCTGCTGAGCTTTTCCAGCAACTTTGTTTTTGTTCCTGATTTACAGCATCCGCAGTTCTTTTGGCCTTAACAGTGACCTGGCACAATACAGGGCGGAAGTCGGTGCTGTAAATTCCTAAATGCGAGGTATTCAGGAAAGATAGGGAATGAAAGAAAGGATGAGGGTAGCGGCTGCATTGATTAAGAAGAATATTACAGTGCTAAAAAGAGAGAATGTTTAAAAGGTGTCAAGGACAAAGTCTGTTTGGTATCTGACACTACTAGAGGTCACCAACTAATGGGAAAATTACGATGGAAGAAATTAACAAGGAAATTGCAGAGCAATGCAAGAATTGCAACATAGTTACATTGGGAATTTGTATTATGTTAGTGTAGACTGGGATAGAAACAGTATAAAAGGCAGAGGGGGGAGGATTTTTTAGATTGGTATGTTTCTGGCTCAATGAAAAATAGCTGGATTGGTTCTGCAAAATGGCATGGATCAAGTATCTTAGAGGAATACTTGGGAGAAATGATCACAGCACCATCACGTTTAGGTTTAGGGGTCAATGCTCACTTTACTTACTCTTTTCCTCTTTAGATACCTAGTGAAACTGTTGCTATCTGTTTTTTTTTTAGGAATTGTGCTTCCATACATGTTCTAATTTGTTTACCCCAATGAGCCTTTTAATTATTTTTTGTTGTTCTTTGTATTCTGACTGGTCATCTGAGCTACACTCATCTTTGCACAATTATAAGATATTTCCTTAAGGCCAATACCTTCCTTAACTTTAGTTACCAATGAATGGTGGGTCTGTGATTTGGAATTTTTCTTAATAGTGGAAATGTACTTAAATTGAGTGTTCTGAAATGTCCCTTTAAATGCCTTTTGCTGCTTCTCTACCGATTTATCTCCTAGCCTAACATTCCAGTTCACCTCAACTAGCTCAGCCTTCATGCCCGCATAGTTGTATTTACATAAATTCAGAATAATTGTCTTAGATCATTCTCCTCTCTTTCAAACTAGATACAAAATTCAATCATACTATGATCACTGCTTCCTAGAGATGTCCTTACTCAGGTCTTTAATTAATCCTGTCATGTTATGCACTACCAAATCTAGTATAGCCTGCTCCCCAGTTGGCTCCAGTTCATGCTGTTCTAAGAAACTATCTCAAAAACATTCTGTAAGTTCAGTGGTGAGTACCATTACTTCTCCACTGACAATAACTTCCAGGTCTTTGAGTTTACAGTATTCCTGGAGATGTAATATGTGACACTGTGGTTAATTGGTCTCCAGATTATTTATAATCCTGTGATTTCCCAACAGTGACAATGAGATCTTCGTGCTGGTAAATTTGTGTGTATTTTCTAGATACAAAGATTTGTGCTGATATGGATCTGGACAATTCTCTAGAATGGGAAACGAAGACTATCACCAGTGCATTGAAACAGTATTTGCGGTAAGCAGCTATATATGTCTTCATATTCTCAGTTTTTTTGAGGAGTTTCACCTTGTAACATGGCTATGACTGAAGTTCTGTACTGTATTAAAACACAAACTTCAGCATTCAGATGTGAGGATAATGTGTTGATTCCTTATAAATACCAATTCCAAGTTTTGAAATCTGATCTGACAGTTACATCCTAATTCCTTTGTTATGGAATTCTGGTGTGTAATGTTTCCACGGGCAGGATAAACCTATTGGAGATGGTGCCACAGTGGTTTACAGTCAGTAGGATATGCCCGAGGAGCCCTTAATACTGAATCCAGACCCACAAAGTCTCATGGAATCAGGGCAAGCATGGCAAAGAAACCTCTAGCTGAGTATGACGTACAACTGCTTTATGTTACATACCACTTGAAGAAAGTACTGAGGGTAGCAAGGTATCAAATATATTCTGAATGGGGGATTTCAGTGTTAATTATCAAGAAGGCCTAACTGGCAGCATTACTGATGGAGCAGTCTGAATCCTGAAGCACATAGCTGTCAGACTGGCTTGTGCCAGGATGAAATCCTGGGCCTCCTGCAGTGCCACAACGATGCCACCCAAAGGTTGCAGGAACAGCAACTCATATTCCGCTTGGGAACCCTGCAGCCCAATGGTATCAATGTGGATTTCACAAGTTTCAAAATCTCCCCTCCCCCCACCACATCGCAAAACCAGTCCAGCTCGTCCCTGCCTCCCTAACCTGTTCTTCCTCCCACCTATCCCCTCCTCCCACCTCAAGCCGCACCTCCATCTCCTACCGACCAACCTCATCCCGCCCCCTTGACCTGTCCGCCCTCCCTGGACTGACCTATCCCCTTCCTAACTCCCTACCTACACTCACCTTTACTGGCTCCATCCCTGCCTCTTCGACCTGTTTGTTTCCTCTCCACCTATCCTCTCCTCTATCCCTCTTCTATCCGCCTCCCACTCTCTCCCTATTTATTTCAAAACCCCCTTCCCCTCCCCCTTTTCTGATGAAGGGTCTAGGCCCGAAACGTCAGCCTCTCTGCTCCTATGATGCTGCTTGGCCTGCTGTGTTCATCCAGCCCTGCACCTTGTTAACTTGTATTGTAAACTGAATGCTGAGTTACAGCAATGCAATCACACACCAACATGTCAAGTCAAAACTCTCTAAGTGGGGTAGGCGATGGCCAAGTGATGTTATCACGGCACTATTAATCCAGAGACCTGGTAATGTTCTAGGACCTGGATTCGAATCCTGCCAGGAGGAATTTGAGTTTAATTGTAATCAGGAAATAAGAATCTAATGATGACCATGAAACCATTGCTGATTGTCAGGAAAAACCCACCTGGTTCACTAATGTCTTTAAGGGCATTACCTTGGCTGGCCTACATGTGACTCCAGACCCACAGCACTTTGATTGACTCTTAACTGTCCTCTGGGCAATTAGGGATGGGTAATAAATCCAAACTAGTGACACCCACATCACATGAATAAATAAAAAAAACTAAGACATCCAGTTGTAAATGGTGGTGGACATTTAGACAATTGGGAGGAGGATGGTGAATGAACATTTATAGTTTCAACATTGACAGAGTCCAGCACGTGTGAAAAAGACCAGGCTGAATTAATTACCATTGGCTTCAGTCAGAAATATGGAGTGGATGATCTGTCTAAGCATCTTGCCAAAGTTCTCCTCAGGATAGAAGCCAGTCTGATATGTTTCATTTGATCGCTTCCACACTGACACAACAATAGTTAGATCTTTTAAGAATGTCTTGCTGACATCTTGTGCAGTTGAACTTAGTGTAGCTCTAGCCAAGTTGTTCCAGTACAGCCATACTTCTACCATCTACCCAACAAAGCAGAAAATCAGCCTACAGATAACTTCGATCACGTCATTGATTATCATCACAGCCTTTCAAGTAACCATCGATAATCTGCAACTGACTGGGATCTGCTAATCCCATTCTGCTGCTGACCTCATGTGGTCTTGATCCAAATGTAGACAGTAAAACTGAATTCCAGAGGTGAGATATGAGTGACTGCCCTTGTCATCAAGTAAATCATCTGACTGTGTTGAACTAAGATGAAGCCCAAGTAAAATAAATGTCACTGGGAATTGTGGGGAAAATCCTTCACTGATTGAATCATACTCAGCACTAAGAAAGCTGATTGTTGTTTTTGGAAATCAGTTATCTCAGGTGCTGGTGTTGTCACAGGAGTTCTTCAGGGCAGTGTTCTAGACTCCAGCACCTTAAACGTCCCTCCACCATAAGGTCAGAAGTAGGAATGTTCACTAATTATTGCACAGCTTTCATTTATACTTACAATTGCTTTGATAATGAAGGAGGCCATATCTGTGTGCGACAGAACTAGACAAAATTCAGGCTTTGATTGATAAAAAGTAAATGGTATGTGCCACTCCAGTGCCAGGTGATGACAAACTCCCACTGAATACTATTCAGGTGTATTTCGATAATCAAATCCATTAAAATTAACATTTTAGCAGGCACTGTTAATCAGGAAGTTAACTGGACCAGTTGCATAATTGATATAGCTACAAAAGTAGAGAGTGGACATTATATGATTGACTTCCCACTTGACTTTCTAAATCTACTACCCTGAGAAAACAAGTCAGGAATGTGTTAGAATACTCCCTATTTATCTGGTTAATGCAGATTCCACAACATGAAAAACTTGACAACAGTCAGGATAATATAGCGCACTTAATTGATGTGCATATACTACCATAAATATTTACTCACCCCATCAGCAATGTACAGTGGTTGTTATGCATGTCATCTTGCTGCATTGCATTAACTCAACAAGACTCCTTTTGCACCACCATCCAAATCAGCCATCTCTATCACTGAGAAGAACAAGGGCAGACTGTAGGACCACTACCTTCATGTTATATGCCATGCTGATTTAGAAATTTATTGCTGTTCCTTCATTGGAGCTGGGTCACAATCCTGAAGCTCCCTTTCTCATGGCACTAAGATTGCACCAACACCACTTGGATCATCACCGCCTCAATATGATTAGGGATAAAAAAACAATGTTAACTTTACCAGCTAAGTACATACCTTTCGCATAAGTAATATTAAAAATTCTGATTGAACTACTGCAAGGTTAAACAGACTGCACAACAAGAGAACCATTTTTATCCTTTTCTATGCAAAATTATTGATCCAGATGTAAAATATATTAGGTAAGTCTCCTTACGTGTTTATCTAGATTAGGATAAACTGGTTGAAGACTTGGTTTGTGATTGGTGTTGGACACTGTCATACATCTGATAAAACAATAGATGTTGAACATTGAAAAAACGATTGTCTGAGCATGGTACATCAAGTAGCAACACTTCGGTTACATTAATCAATAAACAGTTGATTTAGACTGTCATTTAATTTTTAGTTTTGTAAATGTTCTAGGAATCTACCAGAGCCCCTCATGACATACAGCTTGCATGGGGAATTCATCTTGCTAGCCAGTAAGTATTCAATTTGAATTCACTGCTCTACAGTTTTCATTATGTACATGAAAGTGATACATCAGATGCAGCTTGTTGCTGCACAAAGATATCAAGGTGATATACCTTCCTTAAAGAGTGTGGAGCCCTGGCTATAGCCAGGTCTTGTCGAGACAAGCATCAGACAGAAAATTAAGCTTTGAACTGTTGTTGGGCAAGTTGATGTTTATAGAACTGTACATTGTTTATGGAATTGTACATTGAGAGGAGTGAGTGTAACAAAGAAAGAAACTTTTTAATTTGAAATGTCACGAATACTGAGTGATTCTGGGTCAAAGCAATAGCTATGAGTAAGCAAAGCTTGATGTGCAAGTAGGGTACAGGTGGCAGGTTTTTGAATGGATTTGCAGTTTCAGTGGAGCAGATAGGGAGTTGACCTAGAGAGTATTGGAATCTGTTAATGTTAAAATCATGGATGAGGGATTTAGCAGAAAATGGATGGAGGCAGATTATGTTACAATGGTAAGGCATCATTGTAGTAGTTCCTCAGGATAGTGTCCTAGGCCCAACCATCATTGATTACCTGCTTTCCATCATAAAGTCAAAAATGGTAATGTTCACTGATGATGTTTGCAGAATGTTCATCAATCACAACCCACACAGTCATAGTTTATTTGAAAGAGGCCCTTCAACCCATCATGTCCAAGCTGGACATCAAGTACTTATCTATTCTGATCCTATTTCTCAGCAATTAGTAAGCCTTGTATGCTATGGCACTTCAACTGATGAACTGAATGCTACTTAAATGTTGTGCTGCGATTTTCTTTGTCATCTTTTCAGGCAGTGAGTTTCAGACACCCACCACCATTTGGATGAAATTAGTTTTTCTTAAATCCTCTCTAAACCTCCTCCTCCTTCCGTTAAATCTATTCGTCCAGTATGGGAAACAGTTCCTACCTATCCACCCTAACTAGGTCTCATAATTTTGTTGATCTCTAATAAAGTTCTCACCAAGCCCTCCCCCACCTCCGGCTTCACTGCTCTAAGGAAATCAACCCCAGCATATCCAGTGTTTCTATATAGCTGAAATACTCCAGCCCAGAAACATCTGGTGAATCTTCTTTGCATCTTCTCCAGAGCAATCACAATGCTACAGTGTCATGACCAGAACTGCACACGGTACTCCAACTATGGCTGAGCCAGTGCCTTAAACAGATCCATCATAACCTCTTCTCTTGTATTCAGTGCGTCAACTAGTGAAGGCAAGTATCCCATATGCCAATTTAACACGTCATCCACCTATCTTGCTGCCTTGGAAGAATCTATGGACTTGCATATCAAGATTCCTCTGATCCGCAGTACTTGCCAGTACTACCATTTATCGTGTACTCCCTCGCCTTCTTAATCCCACCAAAATACATCATACTTACCAGGATTAAACTCTATCTGCCATTGTTCAGTCCATCTATGTCATTCTGTAGTTTAAGGCTTTCCTCCTTGCTAGTTACTATGCCACCAACATTTGTGTCATTTGTGAACTTATTGATCAAACCTCCAATACTTGTACCCATATCATCACAACAAACAGCAATGAACCCAGCACCAAGCCTAGTGGAATGCCACTGGAACACAAGCTTTCAGTCACAAAAATGACCTTTGACCATCACCCACTTGTCTCCTTCTGCTCAGCCAATTTTGGATCCAGTTTGCCAATTACCCTGAATCCCATGGGCTGTTTCCTTCTTGACCAGTGTGGCATGTGACAACTAGCCAAAAGCCTTACAAAATTCCATGTAGACTACAGCAACTGCACTATCCTCATCCCTCCCTCACGTCACCTCAGATCCTTAAGCATTCCATGCCGGTATGCAGCAAGACCTGGATAACATCCAGGCTTGGGCTGGTAAGTGAGAAGAAACATTTGTAACACACATGTGGCAGGCAATGACAACTTCCAACAGGAGAGAATCTAATCATTGCCTTTGAGGTTCATTGGCATTACCGTTGCTGAAGCCCCAGTATCAATATCCTGGGGGTTACCACTGACCAGAAACTGAACTGAATCAGCCTTAGAAGTACAATGATTACAAGATCACATCAGACATAGTGAATTCTGCAGCAAGTAACCGATTTTCTTTCACTCCAATGCCTCTACAGCATCTACAAGGCACACGTCAGGAGTGAGATGGGGTATTCCTCACTTGCCTGGATGAGTACAGCTCGAATACACTCAAGAATGTTGATGCTGTCCAGGACAAAGCAGCCCTTTGGTACCCACCCATCATGTTCAATATTCAGTCTCTTCATTACTGATGCACAGTGGCAGTAGTGTGTAATATCTACAAGATGCACTGCAGTAACTCACCAAGACTTCTCCGACAGCAGCTTCTAAGCCCGTAACCTCTGCACCTAGAAGCACAAGGGCAACAGATGCACAGGAATAGCACCACTTGCGAGTTCCCTTCCAAGCCTCTCTCAATCCTGACTTGGAACTGAATCACTGTTCCTTCAGTATCACTGGATCAAAATCCTGGAAATCCATTCCTAAAAGTATTGGTGTCCCTACAGCCCTGACGACTGCTGTGGTTTAAGAATATATCTCACCACCATCTTCTTCAGTGCAGTTAACGATAGACAATAACTACTAGCCTAACCAGTGATGCTCATATCCTAAGAACAACTTTTTAAAAAAAAGAGATAACAAGGTGTGGAGCTGGATGAAGAAGGGTCTAGGCCCGAAACATCAGCTTTCCTGCT